TATGGGGCTATGAGAGCACAGAAACAACACCACCTGCCACCTAGGAGTAGAACAGGTTAGCACCAGTGCCTCAGGAGCGGCACTCAGGGAGGGGGCATGAACGGAACAAAGATCACAGGTAAGTCACCTATTATCACATCTACATAACTACGAGGGCAACGGTACACCGTTGGGAAGCCGGTAACAAGCAGGGTCTCTATGGCAGAAGATGGCGGGAAGCACTGTGGTTAGGCCACAAGTGTATACGTTGTCGTGCGCGACTGTCAGGCAAAGGTTTTCGAGCAATGGCTGGACCGATGCTGTGACGTGTGAGAGCGGGCGACAGCGCGAAGCACTGTGGTTAGGCCACAGGTGTATACGTTGTCGTGAGCGATTGTCAGGCAAAGGTTTTCGAGCAATGGCTGGACCGATGCTGTGACGTGTGAGAGCGGGCGACAGCGCGAAGCACTGGGGTTAGGCCACAGGTGTATACGTTGTCGTGAGCGATTGTCAGGCAAAGGTTTTCGAGCAATGGCTGGACCGATGCTGTGACGTGTGAGAGCGAGCGACAGCGCGAAGCACTGTGGTTGGGCCACCAGTGTATACGCTGTTGCGCGTGTGTGTCGAACATTGGCTTGCGAGCGTTTTACTGGGCCAATGTTCCGACGATTGGGAGCGTAGGGCCACCGGTGCTGTTCCGGTAGGCACCTATAGCTTCGGAAGGCGGGTGACAGCGCGGAGCACTGTGGTTAGGCCACAAGTGTATACGTTGTCGTGAGCGATTGTCAGGCAAAGGTTTTCGAGCAATGGCTGGACCGATGTCATGACGTGTGTGTGCGGGTGACAGCGCGGAGCACTGTGGTTAGGCCACAAGTGTATACGCTGTTGCGCGTGAAGAGTTACGGGGTATACACCGGAGGGCACCGGCGCGGCATCGGAGGATGTGGGAATAGGAAGGGCCGGTGTTCTACGGGATGAGCGTTGAGGCCCTGAGGGCAGGGCCTTGTCAGGGGGGGTCGTCGTGTCAGAGAACAGAATGCCATAGGCACCAGTGGGTGTCAGGACACTGAACGCAGGACACCGGCGGGCCGCCGGAGGGGTGTTTCGGACAAAAGACTCCCGAATCATGATTACAATCTATGTGAAGCTTTGGGATGACGAGAGTCAAGATCCTTGGCATCGCCGACCCTGCTGTTATGCCGGGTCCAAGCGGCGGCCTAGCTATCTATATAAGGACCATCTCGAAGTAGGATAGGGAAGGAGTTGTCAGAGCCACAAGTGTCATCCGAGGCGGGCCGGCTTCCACCAGGTAGGAAGCCGTTTGTGGCGGCTAGAGAGCCGCTTGTGGCGAATGAGAGCCGTTGAAGCCGTTTGCAGCGGATAGGGAATCGCTTGGTTGCAGATAAGGAGCCGCTGTCCAAGATATTGGCCGAAGTCGGAGGAACACAGACATACGGAAGCAAACATCCAGAATCCAAGAGAGAAACTCGGCTGGCTATAAGTAAGGAGTCGAGACGGAGGAAGATAGAGAGGGCAGAGATCAATGCATCACCGTGGGCACCCCTACCTGAGACCGCCAGTGACCACCCGGTGCTACGTAGGAGGGACGCCCGTTACTCCCCATCACTCTGTACTATTGCCTTCGGCCTAGCCGTACCCTGACAAGCGCGTCGTATGACTCGTTCCACTGCTCGAGTCTGTATCTCCCTATATTCGGCCTAGAGTTATTGCTAACCCCCTCTTAGACTCCTATCCGCAGATCTGCTCCCGCGACTACTACCAAAGGTAGTAGCAAGAAGGTCCCCGTGCGTGGTGCTGCGCGAGATTATACGTGTGACTCCTGTGTCGGTCGGTTGGGAAAGTCCGCCGCTGCCTGTTTCGACCAATTGGGCGTTGATTCCGGCCGTTGCTTCGCCTCTGGCTTCTTCGTTCTCTAATAGCTCCCATTTCCCTCTAGTGAGGGAAAAGCTCTGAGGGCTTCAAAGAAGTTGGCGGCCGCCGCGGCTCGGGGCGCCGACTTTGCTGCTCTTGCGAGTCTGCGCGCTGGTGTTCGGGCCGCTAAGCGGGCGAGCAACGCTCCCGTCGTCTTGTCGAGTAGCGATGGCGAGGATGAAGAGGAGGAGGCGGAAGCGCTCTCCCAGTCGGAGACTCTGCGCGCTCTTCTAGTAGAAGTGCGTGGCTTCCGGGCCGACTTTGCTGCTCTGGCCGCTCGGCTTCGCTGAGCCTAGAAGCCCTTCTGCCCTGTGCCCTTCGAGGTTCCTGGTTCTCTGCATCCTGGGGGTGTTCGCTTTCTGTTTGAGTAATCGCTCTACTCCTCTCTCTCTTACTTTTAGTTACTTGATATAAGTGCGCTAGTCTGTCAAAGGATTCAGCTTTACCGTATTGCTCCTCAAACCTCTTGAGCGCTTCTGTTTCTTGAAATTCGGATAAGGGCTCCCAAGTAGGATCGGCGTATCCCTTCCATCGAACGAATACTCGGCGGACCTTTCCTCGCCCCTTGCTCTTAGTTCGAGAGCAGAGGATCTCTTCTACAAAGTACTCGTTATCTCCTTCTTGATTTTGGATTGGTAGGGGTTGGGAATCGGATACTTCTTGCCCGAGGAGCGGATTAGAATGTGCTCTTCGTAGTAGATCTACGTGGAATCGGTTTTCGATGCCGGAGGGGATTCCAGAGAGCTCTACCACTAGGGGGCTATGACTCTCGAGACTGAGTATTTCGCTCGTAACCAGTCTAGGGACTTCTTTGGTCGCGGAGTTTTATAATTTCGTAGGTCGAGCCAAACCTTATCCCTGTTACGAACCACGTTCCTAACCAACACAGAATAGGCCCATTGGCAGGCCTTAGGTGGATACCTGCAGGAAAGGACCGGAAACCAGGATAGAAGCTAGGAACGGAGAAAGGATGGACCGACTAGAAGGTCACGTGACGGATCACTGGGTCACTCGGTGAGCCAGTGAGCCACCCCAGCAGGGTCACAACGGATAAGAGTGATCCAACGAGATCAGTGAAGGAGAGATGGATATATAAGGGACAGGACTCCCAGGCATTCCATAGATAGATAGTCTCTACTTCAGTCATCAATCTAAGCATCAATCTAACCCATTGGTGAGGCAAACTGCCTTGACGACTCTATTCCCGACTACCCTACTTGAATACTTCAGTTACCCAAAGCACTATACTCCATATGTCAGACCCCGATATTATTGCTTGAGGACTCCGCAGCAGGACTTGCTTACTAGCACAAACCCTTACAGACTCTTTAGTGGTTTACGCAGCTAGACTATTAGAGGTTTTGTTACAAAAGTGGTAGCGTACGAAAATCTGCCGAAGTGTGCAATTGGACCGTGGACTACGTTATACTAAAGACACTATCACTACTAATAGCACCTTTATCTTTATTATACAAAGGCACGTATACTACTTTTAAATATATTAGTTTAGTCGCTATTAAGATTCATAAGTACCTTAATAATCCAGAGCTTAGTATTAGTCTAGATGTAGCTGTCAGGTTGCGGCTAGGCCGCAGGCGATAGGACGGAGTAAAGGGGAGTACGGGGGCCCCTAGTGCTAGTCACCGGATAGTCACTAGTGATCTCTAGTAGTCTCAGGTAGGATTGCTCAGAATGGTTCATTAATCGCTACCCCCCTTCTATCCTCCTTCACGATAGTCTTTATATGTCAGGGTACGGCTAGGCCGAAGGCAATAGTACAGAGTGATGGGGAGTAACGGGCGTCCCTCCTACGTAGCACCGGGTGGTCACTGGCGGTCTCAGGTAGGGGTGCCCACGATGATGCATTGATCTCTGCCCTCTCTATCTTCCTCCGTCTCGACTCCTTACTTATAGCCAGCCGAGGTTCTCTCTTGGATTCTGGATGTTTGCTTCCGTATGTCTGTGTTCCTCCGACTTCGGCCAATATCTTGGACAGCGGCTCCTTATCTGCAACCAAGCGATTCCCTATCCGTTGCAAACGGCTTCAACGGCTCTCATTCGCCACAAGCGGCTCTCTAGCCGCCACAAACGGCTTCCTACCTGGTGGAAGCCGGCCCGCCTCGGATGACACTTGTGGCTCTGACAACTCCTTCCCTATCCTACTTCGAGATGGTCCTTATATAGATAGCTAGGCCGCCGCTTGGACCCGGCATAACAGCAGGGTCGGCGATGCCAAGGATCTTGACTCTCGTCATCCCAAAGCTTCACATAGATTGTAATCATAACTCGGGAGTCTTTTGTCCGAAACACCCCTCCGGCGGCCCACCGGTGTCCTGCGTTCAGTGTCCTGACACCCACTGGTGCCTATGGCATTCTGTTCTCTGACATTATATAGATAGCTAGAGTACTTATTCGGACCGGCGTAGGTGCGGGTCCGGCGCTCCGAGGCTTCAATATATTAGAATCCTGACTCGTGAACCCCTGTGTTGGCGCCCCACCGGTGTCTTGTACCCGGCACTCTGACACCAGCCTATCGACTTAGCCGCTTTAATAAAGGTTTTTTTATTAATACGATAGAACTTATTTAGACGAAGCGTAACCTTAGCGGAAGCAAATATACTAAACGTATATTAAAATAACGGGCTACTAAAAATACTATCTATAATCTAGTAGAAGGCAGGGAGATCTTGAAAAAAAGGTCAAAGATAAGGTTACTAAAGTACAGAGAGTTCTTAACAAGTATTACGAAGGACTACGTAGAGCAGCCTAAAAGACCTTTTTTAATACCGCGAAAGAAGCTAGAAGACGTTGTTTAGCAGGCCGATTAAAACCTACAGATGTCTTCGAGACAGGCCTTGTTTAGCGGTTATTACGTAGCTTCTAATTAAAGGTTGAAATCCTTTACGAAAACTAGCCAATTTGGTGGTAAGCACTAACTTATGTTAGTGAGCTCAAGCAAGTCCGAAATAAGTGGGGTGTAGCACGGGTAGTATGACTAAAACGATCAAAAGACCTTAGCCCCTAATATAATAGAAATCTTTCTCCAACGATAGCTATCCTTTTCCAGAGTTAGCCATGGGCTGGTCATGCGGGAAATCAAAGCAAGTAAACATTACCAACCAAGATACAATAAGCCCTGTCCTGTATCGCTAGACAACACAACCCCTCAACTCTGGTTGCGAACATATCTCACTGGCTGTGGTCTGCTCCTGGATAACCCCTGTTTGTGAAAGCAGTTCCATCGGTCCTTTGTTCGATGCAGGCCTTGAATATTTTCGAAATGTGTGTTGTTTGGTTCGTATCTATCGCGAGGTATTGACTGAGATGAGAAGAAAAAAAGGCTTCTGGGCAACACGCTGCCGTTCAGTTTGCTAGAGGCACACATCCTCAACAGCCTATGCAAGCTCAGGATTCATGATCAGGGTTTAGGTGGTTGTGCTTAGCACAGTCCATATCCTTGGATTCATCCCAGTTCACCTCCCACGGGCAGTTCAGCCAGACTCTGTTCTCCTTGACTCCACCGCTGGGAGGGCCCAAGGCGACGGCAGAGAATTTGAAAGGGCAGTTGGTTTTCTTGCTGGCGCGGTCCTTGTAGTGCCGTTTCTTGCTGTTCTCCGTGGCATGCTGTTCAGCTCTCTCGCCGATTTTGGGTTTGTAACCCTTCCTAGACTTGCCGCTGTGTACGCATCCGAAATAGACGCGGGCCTTGCCTTTCTTGGGTTTCAGGTCACTGTGAGCAATAACAGTGGCATACCCGAGCCGTTGTTCGTGGGCTTTAACACCGTCAAGTAGAGCTTGGTACGAGGGAAACCGTGTACCACTGGGGACGGGAGGCCGTTCCTTGTAGAGCATAACCGAGATATCGGGATCCTCGGGCGCTTGCGATGAAGTCATGTCGTGATCGGTAGTAGAGGCTGCTTGTTGAAGGGTATCTAGTCCGTTAGATAGTGGCTGGAGCGTGCGGTCATCATATTGCTGCACTAGTTGGGTGTGTTGGACCTGCTGAACATGCTGAGCATGTTGAACTGGCTGAGGAGTAGGAGGTGGGGGTAATTGGCTACGCTCATTCGTCTTGGAGTGGGCACCCTGTTGACGTTCCCAGCGCCGTGCGTGGATCACTTGATTTAGTTCCTCGAGACGTCGGGTGTGGTCTTCGAGGACTTGCAGTATTTGTTCTTGTTGTTGCTGAATCTGAAGGAGGATGGCACGTGGATTTGGGTTGGCGCTGGACGCTCCCGGGAGAGGGTCCCCAAAGTTGATTTGGGACATGGCTTGCGATGCCGGTCAGCCGCAGTGGTTTTGCTGTCAAGAACTTGGAAGCTATAAGAAGACCAGGCAGGCACTGAGGCAAAATTGCGCACATGTCGTTTCCAAAACGGCATGGAAATGTTTGCTTTCCGTGTTACCTCCGACGTCACGTGTGCGAAAGCCGCGTCATGTGCACGGACGGACCTAGAAAGCTTCTCTCTGCCGTGAACTTCCCTATATGTTGACGTAGAGGCGGTATTATTCTAAGTCGCACGAAATGAATACCTGGCATTCTCAAACCTTCTTATTACCACATTGAAATAAGACCGTCCTCTATCGTAAATCTATTTGAATCGCGGTGGATGTGATAGGTTGTGGTATTATAACCACCCGCCGGATTCCGCGATGCGGTCGCCTTCACTACGCCATCAAATTTGGCTCGTGCCTCACTTAAGCATGCAGTCGTCAATGTAAATTAACAGTCTGTTTAATATGCTTTGGATGAAGCTCACTGGGAAATCAAGCTGTTTGAGCTTGTTGCGGTGGCTGATTTTATGTCTCCTATTGGAAACCACCGTCACTCTGTACCTTATTACTGGACTCTTGACCACAATTCGAAGCCTTGTCGTACGCATAAGCCCGTCAATTTACCGATATGAAGGATATATATGAGCGTTGTGAGGTCGACTTGCTTCGGCTGAGTCCGAACCCCACCGATTCTGAATGGGTGAGAGAACATATGAAGAAGGAATCCATCTCATGCAAAATATGTCCGAACGCGATATCACTAATCTCGATGCCATGGTGCAGCAGCGGGGGGAGAGGGACCAATAGCCTGTGAGGCCATAGCGGACGGCTAGCAATGAGCGATCCCACGCTAGTCTTCTTGCCACTGACAACCATGACATGCAAATTTGTCACCTCCGCGATAGACCGAACGTGTAGAAGCACATCTGGGTAATACAGGAATTGGCGTGCGCACCGCACATCTGTCTCGTTGTCGATCGGCATTCGCATTTCGAGTACACAGACTACCCGAGATAGAGCTGAGAGCCGCCAAGGCACTGCGGCTTAAACTCAAGCTGACTAACCCTTCTATCGTGGTTATATAGTTATTGGTTACCCAAAACTATTCTTGGGAACATTTAGGGCTAAGTTAAGCAACCTATCTGCCGCTACCCCAGCTCAACGGCGGCCTACTCCGTGACGCGACGCTACCCTATGCATCTCAACTATCCCCTATATAACCGCATAGCAGATTATAGCGCTAGTTATCTAGAAATAACTATATAGCGCGTCGTACACTATATAACCGCCGTGCTACTAATCCTACTAAAGAGGAGGCTAATGAAACGGGGTCAGGCGGTTGGTAGGATATACCTACTACCTAACATACTGAATAGACGGCTCTAGTACTAACAGATCCTATCTGTTAGTCTAATCAGACGAAGATTATAGCGATAGACGCTAGAGCGAAGCCTTAGGCGCAAGTTAGTCGGATATACCCTCTTATATTTAGCGAAGGGGTAATTCTCATGTTACGAACCACGTTCCTAACCAACACAGAATAGGCCCGTTGGCAGGCCTTAGGTGGATACCTGCAGGAAAGGACCGGAAACAAGGATAGAAGATAGGAACGGAAGAAGGACGGACCGACTAGAGAAGGTCACGTGACGGATCACTGGCTCACGCAGTGAGCCAGTGAGCCACCCCGGGAGGATCACGAAGAATAGGAGTGATCCAACGAGATCAGTGAAGGAGAGATGGATATATAAGGGACAGGACTCCCAGGCATTTCATAGATAGACAGTCTCTACTTCAGTCATCAATCTAAGCATCAATCTAACCCATTGGTGAGGCAAACTGCCTTGACGACTCTATTCCCAGTTACCCTACTTGAATACTTCAGTTACCCCAAAGCACTATACTCCATACGTCAAACCCCGATATTATTGCTTGAGGACTCCGCAGCAGGACTTACTTACTAGCACAAACCCTTACAGACTCTTTAGTGGTTTACGCAGCTAGACTATTAGAGTGTTACACGCAAAGGTGGTCAAAGATTTGTGAGGTTGTAAAAGCATCACATTCTATCTAGTCCTATGGAGCACGAAGGTTGGACTTAGTCCCGAAGGGCTAAGTCACGTGGTAACCTTGGTGGTCTTGGCAAAGCCCACCAAGGTTGCCCAACACGTAGGTCCCGTATATCGGAGCCGTAGAGCACTAGTTCCTCCGATTATTTAGTATACTAAGACTTCTATATTAGGTTATAACTCGCACGTCCCTACACTGGGGCCCCAATGGTGTCTCACCGGTGCCTGGTGCCTGTAGTATTCAGTTCTCTGATAAATACTTAATAAACATAAGTACCTCTTAGTCTCTTGAGGTTACTAGGTAGTCCCCTTTGCAATTAGCGCAAGAGACGACTATATAGCTACATACTGTACCAGTACCACAGGTCTTATATTTATGTTTATAAGACTAGTAATTCTAGGAACAGTACTTGTAACCCGGCTTTACCCTACACTCCTTAGGGTTATAACAAATGCCTACGCATCCGGATCACTAGGTTTTAGGCGTGTAGTCTCGGAATATATCTACCTTCGCCCTTAGTCTCCCGATAATCAGCCCGCTCTTTAGGCAGTAGTCTCTCTCTACCTCTAAAGAGATAGAGAGAATAAGAGAACATGCATTTGTCCTAGGCTGAGGCTTTGAGCCATCTAGGGCTACCCTGGACCTTAATAGGTTAAAGGTCTCTATCTCTTCCTTCAAGATAGACATAGTATCAGATTCGATAGGAATCCCATGAGCTAAGAGCTTAATCCACTAAGTAGGCTCGCTAATAGAGATGACTTTATATCCTGAGAAAGCTTCTAGAAGCTGGCTGTGTTGAGTTAGTATCTACATGATGGACACTGGTAATAGCACTAATCAACACTTATAAGGACATGAATATTTTGCGAAGTGTTTGTTAGGGATGAATAAGCTAGGGCGTCGGCCATGAAACATGTCACAAACTGCCTCATCCATATTCCTCAACCCATACCGCACGTTCGCAGCAGGCCTGGCCCACACGAGCGATAACATGTCTGGAGCCGTCCATCCAGTATGCTATAATCTACTAACAAAATAAATAGTAGAACATCTTCACTCACATTTTATCTCCTACATCCGCCTAACCCTTTCGGGTTGCTGGTAACATTTCCCGTCCAGCATTCTTCTCAACGTCACTCTCTACAGCAACACCAGGAGGGCTGTTCGCCAGACCTTCGGTTAACGCTGCTTCTGCCTGCCTCTCCTTCCGCCTCTGGTTCTTAGCCAACCTTTGTTCATTCTTCTCTGCATCTTCTCTCATCTGCCGGATCACGGGGCTTTTGGCCCGGATCCTCTCACCATACTTGTAGAATATGATGGGAATAGGCACCATCAGGAGTTCGAGCAAACCAAGCATGGTGCCCGCCCACTGGGGCGTGAGCCTGGCGTACATGGAAGGGCCAGCCAGCGGTAGAGTGCCCCCGAACAAACTCCGCGTCACGGCATTACCAGCAAGTGCCGAAGCGGCGTAGATGCCATACGCGCCAGCGAGGTAGTTGCTGCCATAAATGAAACACAGAGTATTGCCGCAACCAAAGGGAATGCCGAAAGCGATGGGAATGGCCCAGTGGATCGTCGTGGGAAGGCACGTCCAACTGAACGACAGCTGCCCAACGGGCACGAGGATGGCGCCAATGATCATGACCCGAGCCGTGGCCTCAGGAGGCACCCGTCCGGTGGTGGGGTCCTTTGGGTGTTTGTTGATGAGTTTGCGCCACAAGGGTTCCGCGCAGATGGCAATCATAGACCCGATGCCAATGCCAACGAAGGCAAGACCGGAAACTCCAGGCCCCCATCCACGGTGCTGGGAAAACACAATAGGGTAAGCCACAAAACAGAGATAGAGGATGCCGTAAATAAGAGAGATCCACAGATTGAAGAACCAGAGGATAGGCTCAGTGAAGGACAGGACGAATGGTCGGACGAGGTTAATCTTAAGCAACTGAAGCTTGGAGAGCTTCATGTCATAGCGCGTCCACCATCTGTCATCATCCGTTTCCTCCCGAAGGCGCGCCGCCTTGGCCTGAAGAACCATGGGACCGTAAGTCTCCTTGGCGCTCGCGACGCAGATGGTCGCGACAGCAGCCAGTATTAGTACGAGCCAGTTATCCCACTATTCCAACTCCTTGTTAGTCATGATCCCGTACCCCAAAGATGGATTGGAATAGCTCACCCGCCAACCAAGATACTGATAGACGAACCCGCCAATGACGGGACCAGTGACAGGGCCGTTAATAGGTGCAATGGACCAAATGGACATGACCAACGCGCGAGTCTCTTCTGTCGAGATGTCCACCACGGATCCTGCACTGTTGGTCACCATGACGGAGCCAAACACGGCGCTAGCAACAAACTTGATCAGTTTGAGCTCGGCTCAACTTTTCACGTGGGGTTCCACTTACCCAAAGAACCGTACGACGATGATTTCAGTAAGCGACGTAGCCAGACAGCACGGTATTACCAATATGGTAAAGACAGCCATGCACGCAATGTACACTGGTCTCCGGCCCCATAGCTCGCTTAGAGGCGCCACCACCAAGCTCCCCGTCGCAAGGCCCAGCAGGTAAGAGGTGACACCAAGGGTCGCTACTGGCGTGCTCGTCACATGGAATTGTTCCATCAATCCGGGTATCGAGGCCGTGTAACTTGTGCTGTAAAAGACGACAACCCAGGTCGTATAGGAAATACAGAATATAACCCAGCCTCGATACCATCGCGGCCAACACCGGGGATTGATAGGGTCGTTTTCCTCAAAGATGACCTCGAAGTCTGGTGGTCGCGAGGCGGAGCTACCGATGCTGGTTGTAGTGCGGACGTGAGCAATAGCCCCTCGGTCGTATTCCTCGTCAATGTGGTCGAAACCCGGCGAGGCATTTTCGTAGCCCGGTGACCAGGCCAGTTCTAATGGTTCCAGAGGGTCAGTGTCATCTGAGGCGTGTGTTACACCGCTGGCTCGACTTGCGCCGCGGCGGCGATTCTGGCTGCGATTCTGGCTGCGACTCCCGCTGCGACTCCAAATGTGACTATGAATGCGACTGTGGCCGTTATTCCGGCTTTCCGTCTTCTCAAGAACATGCAGGTTGTTCCATGTCTCCTGGCTCCTATACGACAATTCGTCGTCGGCCGTTGCTTCGGCCGCAACCGCGCCAAGCCTGGTGTCAGTGTCGGCCATGTTTGCGCCACGGGTTGGGCCTGACCCGCTCCGCAATTTACGCAGTATCGGTCGGCAGGAACGTTATTAAAGTTATCCTCGCTTCAATAGGCCTTGTAAGGAATGTGAACGGTTGCGTGGAAGGAATGCTCAAATAGCTGGAGCCCGTCAACCCGTCACCACATCACCATGACTGACACGGTCTGACCCTGAGTCGCAAAGATGTGGAAACAATCCAGAACAATGTGAGAAGAGCTCCTATCATCGGGGTTCACCGCAGCCTCAGCAGTTACTCATAGTTATTCATCGGTTCCCACACTTCAAACAGCCGGGAATAATGATAATAAACATACCAAACTACGAAGCCTTTGGCCAGAAGTAAGTGGACTCGCAGGGACCCCTGCCACTGTGTGGACAAACTGTGCTATCGCACTATAGATACTGAAGTTTATTTCGTCCTTTAGGCCGTGTTTTATCCTCTCAGCTTGACCAGGGGATCATTCTAGTTGGATTGGCGGGCTCAAGTGTCTAGGTTAAGACATCACCCCAAATAACTACCCTGCGATAACACTGTCCGCCCGCACAATTAGCAGGGGTCTCTGCAAGTCCACTTAGTTTTGGCCAGAGGCGAGTGCACATACAAGCTACGCTCCCCCCTGTTGCCAAGATGATATGTGGGTCATCTAGTGGAGCACATAGTGGCGTGTGCGTAATAAGTTGAAGATCGATTAGTAATTAATTAACAGTTTGGGTAACGTACCCCACAAGCAAGTTGGCCACACAAGCAAGTTGGCCACTTTTTCTTGGCACCATACGAACAACCTTTTAATTAACATCTTTACACATACCAAGATGGGATCGAATTGGAAAGAAAGCGACATGATTCTAGCGTGCCAGGCGCTTTAATCGAAACCCGAATTAAGCATCCGACGCGCTGCCCAACTCTACAATGTCCCTCGTACAACTCTAGCTAACCGAAAACGCGGACTACTATCTCGACGCGATACTCGACAATCTAGTCATAAGCTTACAGAATCAGAAGAGTTAGCGGTCGTATAATACATACTTGACCTAGATTCGCGATTATTTCCTCCCCGGCTCCATGGTGTTGAAGCTATGGCTAACCGACTGCTCCGTGACCGTGGCGCTGGACGGGCATCAACTGGGCCTCGAACTTCGTACGACGACAACCAGACCTTCGGACGCGTTTCAATCGAAGAATCGACTATCAACGAGCCTATTGCGAAGATCCTGATGCGTATCGCGCGTGGTTTACGCTCGTACGAAATACAATTGCGAAATATGGTATCCAAGAGGCGGATATCTATAACTTCGACGAGATAGGGTTCGCAATGGGCTTAATCTCATCCGAGATGGTAGTTACAAGTGCCGAACGACGCGGAAGGCTTCGTCAGTCCAACAAGGCAATCGAGAATGGGCTACAGTAATCCAAGGTATTAATTCGTCCGGCTGGGCTATCCCGCCGTATATTATTGTCCCGGGTTAAAACCACCTCTTATCCTGGTACGAGAATAGCCCATTCCCGTCCGATTGGGTAATCGCTGTAACTAAAAACGGTTGGACAACATATGAGCGAGGTGTAGACTGGATTCAGCACTTTGATCGCTATACGAAGGATCGTACGAAGGGTGTTTATCGTCTTCTTATCCTCGACGGGCATGAGAGCCACCACTCGACTGACTTCGAGCTATATTGCGAAGAGCATACTATTATTACACTTAGTATGCCTGCTCATTCGTCACATAAGCTCCAGCCTCTCGATGTGACAGGCTGTGCCTGAAATGGGATCCGGAGCTGCAAGAACCTTGCGTCCGGATCCAACAAAGGAACCATCGAGGGCATATACAAACATAGTTTGTGTTCTCGGAAAACTCGCTTATTTTACTTTCCTCCTCAGTTAGATAATTAACAGTATTTGGCCATGTTGAGCTGTATAGTTTCGCAGTGAGCCCGTCACATATTATCTAACTCATCTTTCACTCTTTTATTCCTGGCACTCTGGCATTATTATGAGCAGCACCTTTTGTGCACCTTCCTCCGTTTCTTCTGACGACCGAAGTACGCCCAACGACGCGATGGCAGAACCACCCTCTCAAGCGGGCTTGACTTCACAAGCGGCAAACGCCCTGTTCACACCAGAGGTTCTTGAGCAACTCAGAAACCTCTTGAGGACCGACGAAGCTCCCACGCCGAAGCTCGTCAGAGTCCAACCGACTGGCGCTAAGAAGAGATCGGAATGGCCGAAATGGGACGGCAAGAAGGAGACGTACATGACATACATCCACAAGCTCGAGGTCAAGATCGAAGTGGATTGGGACATGCTGGGCAGCCGAAAGGCTATCTGCCTGGATATGGTCAACACCCTCCCCGCGGACCTCCAAACTCGAGTGGCACACTGGTTCAAGAAAGGAGGACCAGATGGTGAATACGACCACGAGAAGTTTATCGACCACTTCAACGAGAACTTCGAAGACAAACAGGCCACCAAGGCTGCTGGAGAAGACCTCGCACATATGCGTCAAGGGACACATCAGCTTTTTGCAGACTTCCTGCGAGACTATGAACACAAGCTAGCCCAAGCTGACGGTCTTGACTGGCCTGATCGAGTTAAAATTAATGGGCTCAACATCGGCCTAAATGACCGGTTACGAAATGCTCTGGTCTCTGTGAACGAGTTGTCTGACGACAATTACCCTCTCTTTGTTATGCAATTGAGACGGACGTCGGGGAAGCTGGAAGCCTTGGAGGACTATGCCTCAAGGTCAGGACACAAAAACGCCAAGACAGTGTATAGCCACCGAAACGGCAGGTCACAGCCCACCGTCGCTACACAGGGAGGAAGCTCATCCGGTACAAGAACCAGGCCCTCCTCCCTTCCAGCACCGCCCGCGGTTGACCATGAGGGAGATGTTGCAATGACAGGAGTCGACAATGTCACCCTCCAAACATTAGCAACCCTTGTCGCTGCAATGCAAGGGAACCCTGGCCGCAGCAAGAAGAAGGTCCGGAGCAGAGGTGGTGACAAGCCGAGGGCGCCCTGGATGCCTCAGGAGGAATTTGAGCTCCTCAAGGATCAAGGCAAGTGTACCCGCTGCAAGAAAAGCGGCCATTTTGGTTTCAATTGCCCGGACTTTTCGAGGCCAGCAAAGCGATCTCGAATGAATCACGCACAGTCCAAGGCCGTAGCGGGACACGTTTCCGAAGACTCAGTGTCGTCGTCGGAAAACGAGTAACCCCTGAGCTAAGACGCACTCAGGGGTCGGAAACAATCTCGGCGAAGGAAGTGAGGAAGCAATGAAAAAGATGGATAGCACACCGTTTCTCATAGATACACTAATTAACTCAGGTTTTTATGTGGACTCTCTGTTCGATACCAGCTGCCTCTGTTTCTCTGCATTTTCCGAGGGACTAGTCCGACGTCGAAAATTACCACGCATACCCGTCAAGGCTCGAGAGCTTCAATTAGCTGAGAATGACGATAAGAAGAGGTGGATCCGAGAAATCACCCACGTTGACATGGACATTGACGGGAGACGAGAAACGGTGTACGGGTACATTATCCAAGATCTGGCATATGACGTAATCCTTGGGAAACCATGGATGGAGGCCAACGATGTGGTTTATCTCGCAAAGAGGAGAGCTATTCGGTTCGGCAGCAAGAAACACGGTCTCGTAGTCAGGGAGAAAGGATGGTATCATACTCGCGCTCCGAATGACGTGAAGAAGCGAGTCTCAGCGGTATCAGTAGGTGCTGCACGGATGGTTATCGGCAGCCACTTTACGGTTCTCGCGAGGAGAGCCAGGAAGGATCGAAAGACTCGGCTATTTGCTGCTACAATGGCAGATATTAACAAGGCCTTAGAGCCAAAGAGGAAGCAATCGCCTAAAGAAATAGCGGCCAACTTACCTCGAGAAGTGAGGGAAAACGCCCGGTTCTTCACAGAGGATGAGAATAACGAGGTTCCCCCACATCGCCCTGGAGTCGACATGGAAATCGAGCTCCAGAAGGACGAATATGGACGCGAGAAAGAGGTCCCAAATGGACCCCTCTATGACATGTCCAGGGAAGCTCCTAGTACTTAGGAAGACTCTTACCGACCACCTTGATCGAAATTGGATTAGGGCCAGCGCCTCCCCAGGAGGTGGACTCCGATTCTGCGTGGATTATAGAGCACTGAACGCAATCTCTGAGAAGGACCGTTACCCACTCCCTCTGATACGGGAGACGCTGAGAGCCGTGGCAAAAGCTACATACGTTACGAAGGTAGACGTGAGAGCCGCTTTTCACAAGCTTCGGGTTCGAGAGGGAGATGAGTTCAAGACGGCGTTCCGTACGAGGTATGGTTCTTTTGAATGGTTGGTAACGCCATTCGGGCTCACAGGGGCCCCAGCGGCGTTCCAGAGGTGGATCAACAAAGTTCTCAAAGACTTTTTGGGAGACTTCGTTTCGGCTTATTTAGACGATGTCTTGATCTATACTGGCGGAGACCTGACAGACCACTGGGTCAAAGTCAATACTGTCCTTGCCAAGCTGGGAGCTGCTGGCCAGAAACTCGATCCGAAGAAAAGCGAATTCGCGGTGAAGGAAACAAAATACCTAGGTTTCATTATTTCGCTGGGCGAGGGGATTAAGGTCGACCCGGAGAAGGTCGAGGCTATTAGAGGCTGGGAAGCCCCCACGTCAGTAAAGGGGGTTAGAAGCTTTATCGGTTTTGCCAACTTCTACAGGAACTTCATCCCAGACTTCGGCAAAATCGCCGACCCCCTATTACGCCTGACCAAGAAAGGCACGAAATTTCAGTGGCGTGGGAAGGAACAACAAGCGTTCGACCAACTCAGGGAGCTGTTTATGACCGCACCAGTTCTCGCTATGTGGGATGAGTCGAAGGACACGATCTTGGAAGCCGACTGTTCCGGATACGTGATGGGCGGGTGTTTATCACAGGTCGACAAAGAAGGACGACTCAGGCCCGTCGCCTATTTATCCAAAAAGATGAGCCCAGCAGAATCAAACTACGAGATTCATGACAAGGAACTGCTCGCGGTAGTCAGGTGCATGGAGGAATGGCGTGGCATGCTCATCGGATTGGAAAAGCCCTTCGTGGTATTGTCAGATCACAAGAACTTGCAATACTTTATGACAACCCGAAGACTCTCAGAACGACAAGTCCGGTGGTCACACACCCTCTCGCAGTTTAATTTCACGCTGAAGTTCAGGGCTGGTAAGAGCGCTTTACGTCCAGATGAACTCTCACGGAGAGAGCAAGACATGCCTCAAGGCGTCGACGATGAACGCCTACGAAACAGAGAATTCCAATTACTGAAGGACTCATGGGTCAAGCCTCACCAGGCCGACTTTGTACAGACCCAGATCTCCTCCATACAACTCCCCCCAGTGTCAACCGAGCAACAGTCAGCCAGCCTGCCCAAATGACGAAACATCTTTCAGGAAATCGAGCTGCAGCTACTCTGGGACCGCGG